TTCCTCTGATGGGGCCCATGACCTCCCAGCAGCACCATGGTGTAATCTGAGCCCTGGATTTAGGACGAGCTCTGGATCTGACAGGGACACATCAGACTGAATCAGGATTGACTGCAAGGCCGACACCACAGAGAATTGCACCCAAAGCTGTTCAAGCAAATGGTGTTTCTGAATCGGCACCAGCCGGCTGCCCTGCCGCTGAGGTTTGATCTGTTAGATCCAGAGCAGCCTGGTTTGCACTCATATCACCATGCTTAAAGAACAGTCACTTAATCTCACTTAGAAATGTTTACTTGCAAGGACCAGATGGCCCAGGGAGTTGGGCTAAACAAAGCATTTTACTTCTAGGTCACGCATTCTAATCCAGTCCAGGTTGGTGATAAATGAACATATTCACCTGATAGCCACTTTTGGCTTCACTTTTGGTGTTTTTCAGGCTGGTTTCTACAGGGAGATGTCACATCACAAAAATCTCCCTCTGTGCCCTGCCACAGTTGGTACTGATTTGACTGTCTCCGCGGAGAAGCCAAGGATCAAATGCTCCATGGCGCCAGACTGTTTTCTTTTGCAGCCTGCAGGTAAGGGGAAGTTGTCCTGTGTCTGGCTGTGTCATGCCTGCTCTGCGGATGGGCAGGATTTCAGTTTGCAAAGCTGCCAGTCCAACCTCCTCCACCAACATGAAATTCATTAAAAAAATAGAGAAATGTTTAATTGCAGTTGACATATAGGCACTCTCTGCTATGAACTTTACACGCAATCACAGATAACAGCATCAAAATTAATGCCTGCTTCCCACTTGTCCTGCTATAAGCAATAAACGTTTGGCAAGTCAGTAAATAACGAAATTCTCATGTGGCCATCTACAGGTCACCAGGATACTTAAGAAGTTTGCGTTAATTATACCATGTTTGCCATCAAAGAGGGGATATTAACCCTTTTGAGCTGTTGCAGGAAAGCAGTGGAGTTATTTGGAAGTAAGTAACTGAAATCTTGTCACTAAAAGTGCAACCTTTGCAAAATAAAAAAAAAAAAAAAAGAGGAGAGATGTTTGAGGCAAAAACCTCAGTAGACATAATGGAAAATATGCTACCTTTTCAGCTTTCCTTTTATTTATTTTGTATTTTGACATCAAACACTCCCTGTAACCTAATCTTCTTGGCTTTTGATGTGGCCGTGGAGACATGACAATTAAGCACGGCTTAAAACAATAATCCCAACAACGGGAACCAAAGGCAAGTAATGTCAGGGTTCCCCCCTCACGAAAAGCCTGTCCCCCAGTGTTTGGTGGTAGTGAAAGGACTGTAAATCCCAATTTGTTGCCTTGATATCTGCTCTGTGCTTACACTTTACGTTGAACTTTACACACTTGCTCCATTTCCATTCCCTGCTGTTTGTTTTTCTTCCGCTATGCAAAATGTCTGGAGACAAACACCATACGCACATTGCAGAGAGATGGTTTGATCTTTCACAGATTAGTGCCACCTGACAAACATGGGATTATTTGTTATCTGTGTTGCAGGAACCACTGAAGACCCCGCTTAGAAGAGGCACGCTCCTCCGGGCGCTGGGGGGCTGCAGCACCCCTCCTGACAAGCTGATGGATTACGGCCCCGATTCTGCGAGCGAATTGGACTGACCCAGTGAAATGCCTGCAGAGAGACAACACTAAGGTAAGACCTCATCAAAGTCTGAACTTTGTGTGCAATGTGCAACCAAAGCAAAGAGCTTGATTATTCTAAATCGTTTTAAGTGATGATGCTAGTTGTCCTGCTCTCCCCTTGTTTCAACTATTCAAATACGGAGGGAGAGTGGCTGAGTTTACTTGTAACTTCATTTCAAACCTGTCTGAAAATGAACATGTTTCTTTTTAAATGAAGCTTGCACGGTATGCTATAAACTGCTTTTTCTTTTTTTTTTTTTTAATGGGTGTTTGCACTAAGCCTCGCTAAACAAGTTAGAGAGATTATTAACTCGTCTGAAATGATGCGGGAAGGCCTTGTCCCGGTTGCGTGTACTTTCTTCAGCACATCTAGAGCTTCTGTGACTCCTCGTCATTCACGAGCAGGGCTTGCAAACAGGGCTGGGGAAGAGGCTGCACGGTTAAAGAGAAGCAGTGACAGAGAAGACTGGAATTTGCACACACACACAGAGAAAAAGGAACTCAGGTTATTTTTTTCTTAATGAGTAAGGAGTTATCCCCAAGTTGGTTTCCACAGAAGTGAGACGCAACTCCCGGGGGTCAAAGGAGGAAACCCAAAGTTCATTAGCAGTTTTCATGAAAATATTGGTTTAATAGCAGCAGTACTCCCCCCTACACATGGCAGGGGGACTTTGCAAGTCTTTGCTTTGCTTTGTAAGGCCCCAAAGAGTTCCTTGTGTGGGTCAGGCTCGACCATGTGATGAAAGCAGCCACAAAGTTTTGGCCGTGTGAGAGCTGCCGGGTAAGCAAGCGCTCTTCTCCATCCTCACGTGCCAGCCCGCATGCACACCCCCCTGCACCCACGGCTGTACCCCATGTTCCCAGGACAGCACTGAGCAGCTCCGGGCTGGCCATCCCCGCTTGCTCCCTTCATGCCACTGACAACACCAAATGGTAAGGAACAGGGTTTCATGTTGACCGTGTTGCCTGCTACAGCAGTGCAAGAACCTACGAAGAACTGCCCGGTCTAATAAGGCTCTGCCTTGAAATCCATTAGGCAGCCGGCTGCTTTTCTGCGTTTACGGTGCTTTTAAAACTTGTTTTTAATTGAAAATTATTTCTTCAAACACTTTAAAAAAACAACCCAAAAACCAACAAAAAAAGCCCAGAGAAACTGCAGTTCATCATCTGCAGTGTGGCTGCTGCCTTAGATTTTAAACTGGTTTAGAAACTTTAGCGCGCTTAACTGCATGACCTCGTCACCCCAAAACAACACCGGAGAACGAGCTTTTGTACCTGTGCTTTTTATACTAAATCATTCACCAACTACTTTTTTGTCCTACCCTGGTAGGTTTTTCAAATATCAATAGACCGCTCTGCATGAAGTTTAAGTTAATAATTCTACTGGCAACAATGACAACGATAATTTTTCCTATCTCCCCCTATTAAAAGCAGCCTTTATAACATGAAGCTGGGCACAGGTACTTTGACAAAAAAGGTATTTTATTATTCTTAGCAATATTCACCTTGAAGGAATATGAGGAAAGCATACACTTTTTACAGACAATATATAAACATGTTGTACATAATTAACAATAACTTAGTTCACTAATCCAAAAATAAGCAAAATAAAAAAATTAAAATAAAACCAGAAAATACTGCAGATTTTTTTTATGCTGATACAAGTACAAAATAATTTAAATCTCGACTGCCGTTGTCTATGCTGCAGTGACTGACAATATATTGCACTTTGTCAACTGTATCAGTAATCCCTGTCTTCCACCCACGTCCCTTCCCTGCCCC